TTTGCACATAATCGCATATGAACGTCACCTATGAAAATGAAAAATGCGAAGCGGATAAAAAGAACAAGAGGCGATTGTCGATTCATTCGTTTCACAGCGACAAAGAGCTTCCAAGGCGAGCCGAAGATAAAGGAGGAGGACAAATATTATCTGTGAGATACGAACGGAGGATACGCGACTGCAGGTGGTGGTGAATGGCAGATGGCAGTCACTCCTCTAGGATACCGTTCCTTGTTCGAAAGCGTTTACATACACCCGCCCGCTCCTGGCAATGAATCATAGCGATGCAGCGATATAAAAAGAACAAAAAAAAAAAAAATGATGCTGGAGGACGCGTAAAATGCGAGAGACACGGACGACTGGGATTCGAACGAACACAGGCAAGTGGGAACGGAGGTAGAGAAACGAAAGGCGGACGAAGAACGTGGCGTAAAGAAAATTTAAGGAGATTACATAACAGAGTGAGCGTGTGAGAGAAGACAGACACGATAGACATACAGACAGAGAGAACGTCGCTGTCGCGTTTGATTAAAAATAAAAAAAAAACAAAAAAACAAAAGAGAGACAGAAAATAAGATAAACCGAAAGAAAGAAAAAAATAAAAGAACGGCACAGCGATCCACGCGTCGCTGTCGTTCAAGGTACTTTCTTGTAATTAGAGACAAAGAAAAATAAGACATTAAGTAGTGGTGTTGGTCATTACCGTTCGGGTCCGGGGCAATCGGGTACAATGATTGAGGCTTTGTACTGTCGGGCCGTGGTGGTTGGTGGTTGGTTCATTGGTGGTTGGTTGGTGGTTGTTGTCGATTGTTGGTAGGGTGGTCCATTTGCCATTTTCGAGTCAGGGTCCGTCGTTCCGGGCAGGGCAACGGCAGGGCAACGGCAGGGCAACACCAGGGGGGCAACGCCGGGGTTGGGGCGGGGCCAGGGCACAAATCATCAACCAAGTTAGACATCACGTCTCGGATTAATTCTCATCGCGGCTTAACCTTCTAAAACCCCTTTCCATCCCCCTCATCCTCCTCCCACCCGTCACTTCACCCACCATCCCTATCTATCGTCCCTGTTCTATTTCTGTTACGCTCCTGAGTGTTACGACTGACGAACCGTCATAATGATAAAAGCAGAATCTACTAACGTAACATATTGGATCGGCGAGGATTTCGGTCTTCGCGGAAACACAGCGTCGTAAAGACCGATCGGTTCCTTGCCAGCCGAACGTTAATCGAGCCTGCCACGATCTTTCTATACTGTCCTCCCGTGCGACTACGTCTCTTCTGGTTGGCAATACATTTTTAAAACAAGACTGGAAGGAAAATAATTGAAAGATCGTATCAGGTTCGAGGAAACGACTTAAGTATTCGCGATAATTCAACGGCAAACAGAAGAAAACGCAACTGCATTGTCCGGAGAGAATCGAGCCCCCCATTATCCCCCGCATCGCTGTAAATATTCTGAAAACGGCCGAGCAGACCGAAACCTATCTCCCTCCCACCATCCCTCTTGTCTCTTTCGCTCTTTCTCTCTTTTCCACGGTTAATTGACGCCGACTGAGCCTCGAGCGGCCGATTCGCCCAGCATTTCAATTGCTAACGAACCCGCTTAAGCGTGGCTAATTAGAGGAAGTTTTAATAATTAACGCGCAATTTCGCGATGCACTCTTCCTTTGACTGCCGCGGCGGGCCACTACGTGCTCGAATTATGAATCGCCCACGTGGACCTCCTCACGCCCAGCGACAAGCGTTAACCCTTTGACCGTAGGATGACTCCGCTCCGCGTGACGAGGTGACCGCTGATCATTTCTTAAAACGTGAAACGCTCGCCCCGTTCGCAAAACTCCGAGCATTCTTTGTAATCAGACAACGTGTATTCGCGAACGTTTTTCACACGGTATTTCTGTTCGCAATCTCGTCCCGTCGAGGTTCGAGACTCTCTTCCCGGTTAACGAAGGACAGACGCTCGACCGCAAAGGGGACACGCGGTAAAAATGTTTACCGGCGCAACGCGATTATCCCCGCGAGATTTTTCAGCCTCTCGCTTTCGAGAATTATTATATCTCCTGGCCTTCCACCCTTCGGGCCGTGCAGGAAGCTACGAAGCCTCCATTCACGATTTTTACACGCAGTGTGGGCCAGGTATAAAGTGTTATTCAAACGAAGGATCAGAAAATCTGATTTAAATAAATTAAATATTCGATTGGGTCGATAATTCTCCCTGTACTTTAATTAACAAAACGCACGATTACATTTCTTATATCGTTCGTTTATCTTTGAGATCTGAAACGTCAAAACCTTTCACACGTTTTCGTATCTTCTTTTTAAGCAACGTATTTCACCGGGTCGTATAACCAGGGACAAGATCGAGTGAATTAATATTGCAAAAAAATATTCTTGCTTTATTTCAAATAAAATACGTTTATATTTTATAGCAAAATTGTTCATGT